ACACATTACAAAGTCAGCTGAGCTTTCCGTAACACTTACACACATTACAAAGTCAGCTGAGCTATCCCGCAACACTTAAACACATTACAAAGTCAGCCGAGCCATACCGTAACAATATATCGGAAAACAGGTATATCGCAATACACGGGTACACTTACACACATTACAAAGTCAGCTGAGCTATCCCGCAACACTTAAACACATTACAAAGTCAGCTGAGCTATTCCTAACACTTACACACATTACAAAGTCAGCTGAGCTATCCGTAACACTTACACACATTACAAAGTCAGCTGAGCTATCCGTTACACTTAAACACATTACAAAAGTCATTTATACTTCATGTATATGTTCAGGGAGTTCTGCATGAAATTACCATCAATCAATATATTTTTCACTTCACATGAAAATGCTGCTAACTTATTAGACTGTAAATATGTAAGACTGGACCTATATACTGTCAATGATATCATATTTTTAAGGATCACGTTATTGTTAATGTCTCTATGTCAATGATTACAAAGCCAAGGTTTTGGTAGTTTGTGTCATTTCAAAAATTCTGAAATAAACATATAGTTTGTATATAAGTATGTTGTGTTGTTTCATCGGACAAATGACCAATGAAGAGTATAATACAATAAGGTGTAAAATATGTACAAGTTGGTAATATATAATCAAAGTCATTTCTGATATCCTACAAGTGTATTTATTAAAGTACAAACTAGGTTGTGATCAAGCTGTATATAAGAATCTCAAATTATTATTGCTATTTCTTAGCTCACCTGGCCCCAAGTGAGCTTATTCCGTGGTGCGGCGTCAATATTTTACTTTAAACAACTCTGTCTTAATAACCAAATGGCCCAGGATTGATATTTGGCCAGTAGCATGCTAGAATAAAGGACTTCCATGTTTGTTCAAATAAATGACCTTAATAAAAGGTCACAGGGGTCGAATATGATTGAAACTTTTAAATGACTTCTGAATAACAAAAAGCATGATGATATTTGGCCTATAACAAGATGAGATGAAGGGCCACCAAGTTTGGTCAAGTGAATGACCTTAACATTTATTGAAGGTCACAGGGATGAAATATATTCAAAATCTTTTAACAACATTGAGCAAGATACTTTACTCTGTTTGTTCCAATCTTCACAGCTGTAAAGTCAGTGCGTGGTTGGGCAGTGCTAGAATTGTTGAAAGCTAGCTGTGAGCGCCGAAATGGCAGCACACACTATGCTCCCCAGGGAGTTGAGAAAAATATTGGCTGGTTGCAAAGGCCCTATAACCATGGATAATAATTTGTGAACCACTTTGAGATGACCTATGAACTAGGTTGTGATAAAGCTGTATATAAGAACCTCAAATTATTATTACCATTTATTAGGTCAACTGGCTTGAATGGTGGTATAAACCTTTAAATGACCTAATCTCAATAAAAATAAAATGTCTAGGGTAGTGATATTTGGCAAGTTGCATGCTGAGATGAAGGGCTATAAAGTTTGTTCAACGTAACGACCTTGTTTGACTTTCAAGGTCACGGGTGAAATGTTTTTGAATCTTTTAACAGGTTCTTTTGAATAACTTTTAGTCATAAATACTGATATTTTGCATGTAGCTTTATTTTAGATCACTTTTAGGGCTACAAGTACCAGGTAAGCGATGCAGGCCCATTGGGCCTCTTGTTATTATATATAATAAATAGGGTGTTTGCTCTGTTATCAACAATTTATTCAGTTCAATGGTTTGCAACTTCAAGATAATTTGATAAAAGATGGAAACGGCAAATATTTGATGCCCAGCAGTCACTTTAGTGGTCTGGACGTAAAAACAACACGAACAAGGTCAATAAAAATGTACTTTTTTAATTTCTTTCTCTATTTGCCGGAACAAAAAAAAATGTCATTTCTATAGAGACATAATAACAGCATTATGAACTTCTAACATAGAGTTGGCTTAGGTTCTTGGACATGACAAAGTCACATCTAATATAAATATGTAATATGGCATACAATCATGTAGGACTAGGGTGGGCACCCAAAACATCGGCCACCAGGTCAGGTACACAATCATTTCATCAATTAATTTCTGTGTTTTCCAACTCAACAATTTTCAAGTGACAATTCAGATTCATTTCTAGGCCATACAAATATGTACTTTGACATTTATTTCTGGACAAAGATTCTACAGTAAAATTAATGTTTTTTAAAGCAATTATCAAGTTTATTTGATGTGGAGAATAAACTTTCAGTAGTGCAATTATTTACATTTGCAGCTTTGAGGCTGTACTGAAGAGCTACAATCTTCAAATTTCTGTTTCTTGACTAAATATTTTCCCTTAGATAAATATCCCAAAAACAACCTAACTATGATGGAACTCTTTCATTTGCCTCATCACGTATCACCGCTTTACATATCCATTAATATATTTCAAAACCTCTTTATAATGCCAAAATTGCACTGGGCATTAAAAGATGAGTTACCTTACTGACTTGACTGGGAAAGTGAATATAAAAACTAATGGAATATTTTTTACGTGTAATACATAACCCTTAACTCATTCATCCCTGAAGACGCATTTGAATTCTTCCAATTGAAAGGTTTGTATAGTTCATTTTGAAATTTCGGGGGTGAATGAATTAATTTGTACTAGAGGGTGAGATCATGAAGATGATATAATGAGGAGATGAGTTTGAATGAGAATTTGACTTCAGGAGATCACATATTTAGGGTGCCCTTTATATAACAAATTCTTCAAAAAAAAAGCCTTTATACATTGGACAACTCGTTTAAGTAAATCACCTTGTACAATAGTAATTGATGTATAATACTGGAAAATAAAACAACAAAGTTACATTGTATACACATGTAATACATATTGGACAACTACAGCCTTCATATCACCAAGATACCTGAACAAAGCAGGGCAGATACTTTATGTACAGTGTTTCTCTTACAACGAGCCCTGGGGACCAACACAGTCAATGTACACAAACTGTCGGCTTATCAAGAGGACAATGAAATAGCACTTTCCACTGAACTGTTTTTAACTAGGGTGGGTTTATTTCCAGGCATGGGCTTATTTCAGGATAAATACAGTTGTTTTCAGTTTTTTTGCCTTTGTTATAAGGTATTTTAAGAAATCGGACACAACCAAACATTCTCAGTAGGTTTCCGAGATATTTTTAGGCCTGGCAGGTTTTCTCTGATTACAGAAAAAGTAAAACACTTAGACCATTAGATTAGGCCTTGATATCTAACTACAAGATTTAATCTTGAATATTTAAAGTTAGGGACAATATAAACAGTTTTAGTTATGTTAATTAGGATTAATTCCACAGTCACATGACTGATTCTTACACTTGCAACCACATAACTGAATCTTGTACTAGCAGTCACATGACTGAATCTTGTACTAACAGTCACAGATCTTGGTATAGCAGTCACATGACTGAATCTTGTACTAGCAGTCACATGACTGAATCTTGTACCAGCATGCAGTCACATGACTGAATCTAACACTAGCAGTCACATGACCAAATCTTGTACTAGCAGTCACATGACCGAATCTTGTACTAGCAGTCACATGACCGAATCTTGTACTAGCAGTCACATGCCTGAATCTTGTACTAGCAGTCACATGACTGAATCTTGTACTAGCAGTCACATGACTGAATTTCAAAAGAATGGTCCGACTCTGATGACAGAGAGGTTAAAGAAGATTTACTGGACATTTGTGAAAAGATGTTTTTGGGAAGGTTTATTTTCGAGAAGTTTTATTTTCAAACTGTTAATCATATACATTTTCCACATCTTTTTGAGACATCAATACATCCTGCAGTTTTCCTTAAATATTCTTCAAAGGTGGTGGGGTTCCACAGTGGATAATGGATTCGCCTTTCACCAAAGCGTCCAGGTTTGATTCCCGGATCTGACGTTTATAGGTATGGGGTCACCTGCCTGACCACATTGGTTTCCTCTGGATTAAGAGAGGTAACGGGCAATATAATCAGAATTTGTTCGTGATAGGAAGGCATGCAAAGTAAAAAAAACCAAGGGACTTAGGACAAAATTGCTTTGAATATTGCACTGATCGCCCCAGCTTATGATATATAACAATGTTTGAATATCAATGATTCAAACTATATAGCTCTAACCTGAATTTTATCTTCAAGGAATGGAGGTCATAATCACTACATTGAGATTCTGTGAGGTAATTTAGGATTTCTGGGTGAAAAAACAAAAAATAGGAATGTCTCAAAAGGAGTAATAATGGTTGAACATGCCCTCAAGATACCATAAAGATGTGTTTCTGATGACACATTTCAAGAGCCTCCTTTTCCTTTTTTCTGAACAGCTATCCTTGTACTTATCATCAATACAGCAAGGTGTTACTGTATACCCTCACTCGACCCATGTTATGAAAATAAAAAACACAAAAGGTGAAACACAGTATTCAATTCATGTATATCAATACAAAAAGGTCATAGAGTTATGCACATTTAGGCAAAGGGAACTGGAATATACAGGAATAATTATAATTTTTGTTTGAAATAATATACCAAATAAAAACATTTTGGCATAAGATAATAAAAAATAAAACATTCTAATAGAGAAAAAATTGTGACAAAACCATATATTGTAATGTATGGTGGGTTTAACAAAACCATTGATTGTTATGTAACGTATGACAGTTGTAATAAAACCATATATGGTAATGTAATGCATGACAGTTGTAATGAAACCATATATTGTAATAAACCAACATAACTTCTGACAGTTGAGATATTCATGATGAAGAAAGAAATCACAGACTAGCACATTACATTAAGTAGATTGAGTATTGAGAAAGGTGGAGACTTTGGCGGAAGTAAATTCTGTACAAGGTTGTCAACGCATTGACAACTGTGAAATGTAAAATATCTAAAAACTAACCTACAACAGGTTTTTTGACAAGACATTGTAACAAGGTGGGACAAGTTTACATGTAAATCAGAAGCTCTACAACATTGTATATATGTGGACAAATATAATATGGAACAAATAAATAAATCTCTTATAGGAATAAGTCGCTGTTAACTACATCATCATATTTGTTATCAGTGAATTAGCTTTGTTTGTGTGTGACGTCCTATTAACAGCTACAATTTTGTATGGTCATTAAAGAATGTGCCAGGTTTTGTTGGAGGAAAGCGGGAGTTCCTGGATAAAAACACCACTGAAAATATCCAGATTAACAATTTGTAATGTGCACACAACCCAAAATTTGTTTTAACTGTATTCATGTACAAAAGGCATAATGATCACAGCCTCGTTAATCTAGTCATCTTATAAAAAAAATATTGGACCATGAAACAGTTGAATTACTGGGAAAGTTTTGTAAACATTCTAGATCTGTTTTATACCAGAAAGGTATTACTAGCTGATTACAGAGAGAGAATTTAACAATAAGGTAGCATGTATCCTTATCAAATATCTGGCATGATTGATTCCAACTTTGGTGGGCACGGAATGTCTGGGCAACTCTATCAATACATTTCACTTAAAGCTCGGTGGGAACATCATATAGACAATTCACCAGAGTGGATTTAACAATACAGTAGGATTTTAAATGAATAATTGTCTGAAGTGAAATGGAAAAATTGATTGTAAATTCAAACAGAACAGGTCTTTAGTTAACCTCATATTCTGTCTGTTAAATATTGTATGTAACTTGAGTTACCTCCCTTCCCACATTTACACTAGAGTAGAACTTTAAAAGTCTCATCTGGAAAAGTTTGAAAAGCTGGAGCGCTTTCGAAAGTCTTCTATCCAAGTATCACCAAAGCACTGACAATAAGGATGCATCAATCTGAATAATTTGCTGTCCAGGCAACAAATTACATGTTCAGACCCAAATATATAATTAGCTGTAACTAATGCCTTTCCAATGTGAAACTTTCTGACGGGGAATGATTTGTACCACTGGCCATGGATCACAGTAGGACCCCAGAGCTCAATTGTGTTCAGTCTCGTGTAAAGCAGGCATCCTCTGTAGCATCTACACCCTACCTGGATTTAAATCTCTAGCATCTATGCATAAAGACACACTTTTAGATACTATCCACGCAACTGCTGGTTATGAGCCCTGATGAGCTTTATAATGAGCTCTTTGTTGAGCTTTATGGAGAGTAAGACCTCTGGAAAATGCAAAATGAATCCCCTAACTGCCAATTCATATCAGCCATCTGCATTCTCTACAGACTAACACCCATAAACCTGGACACAGTATTTAGATATGGACATGGAGTTAGCTCTGTTATTTTCCAGGTCCTTCACGCCTTTCACAAGGATTCCTCTTCCATTTAGTCATTTTGGTGACTTTTTATACAAAGATTTGTCACTGCATCATCAGATTTCCTTTGCAACATTGAGCTTTTCACTTGAGTCTTTGTGTCACGTTGGCCAGAGCTACAGCGAACGCCTGTATGGCTGTGAACGGATACTGGAAGTCCAGTGTGTAGGCATTACTGTCTATCCTACCAAACTGCATAACCTGGAAAGTATAGAAAACATTTAGTCACAAAACCAACATCATCAAGACCGACAAGCATCGATCATTACATAAACTGTCAGAAGAAACATATTTGGGAACGTAAAACTGTATACCGGGAAACTTCCCCCCTGTCAAATATTTGTCCTTAGCCGATGAGATCCATGGTTGCCTAGTGTTAATTTGGCCCTTAGCATGCAATGTCTATACATTGTATGCTGTGTACTTATTGGGGAGTGCAAAAAAGGCGAAAGTTAAGCTGCGTTGAACATTTCCTGGTATCCTGGTATATAGTATAGAAAGGGTTGGGCATTTGATATTTTTGTTCTGTTAAAAGCTCTGCAGAGCAATGCTTTTTGTTGTTGTATATGTCCACTAAGTTAAAATTTTATCTTTCTAGATTATATTTTACCTATTCATTCTGCTGATATCAATACGTTTATTATATTGAAACATGTGACACCTATTTATGAGAGTGATGACACTGATTCAGTTTGAATGTGGTGATATCTCTAATCGAATATTATGGCGATAAACATTTCAGGATCCCTGTCCCAGTGCACTGTGTATTTTTCATTCGTACAGTAACTTCCCCTTAATTTTGTTTCTGACATAACTGTAGCACATCTGGGCCAGGACACTGCCATTGACCAGGTAAGTTGATCAGTTTGAGTGACAGTATAACAATCTGAAATCCAGTGTTCAAATCACGGTCTAACTCTGCTGAATTTTGTATACTCAGAACACAGGTGTTGATAATATATTATTTCATTTTTATCATTTTTTCATAAAAGTCCTGCAAGGTATGGGTTTTTTCAGAAATGATTGATCAAAGCTATGGTCATGGCAGACATTACAGTTACCAATGCACAGTTACAGTTTTTGGCAGTGGTACAGGGAAGTAAAATGAAAAAAATGTTTTGGTTATAAGAGCAGAGTCATGTAGCTAAGCACCTTGTTCTGTTACTAAGCACACACCCACAATGTGTCAGCACTGGCTTAAACTAGAGTAAAGTATTTTTTCTCCCATTTCCCTTCCTACAACCAACACAAAAACAACTCGTACACATCAGCCAAATTAATTACCGATGTCTAAATCTGTCAAGCCATATAAATGGATTACGGCTTACACTGCAGTAGTACAGCCACACAGGTTTCCTGTTGACTACCAGTAAGCTCCCTATGTCACCAAAAGGTCAATATATTTTTTTATCTCAGTTTCATATTTTTTCAGCTTTGGAACTGTAAAGTTACACTATTGAAGGGGCGTTTTTGATTGAAATACTTTGGTTCTATGGTACCCTGCTTTGTAATTCTTGCCAGTATTCATGAAGTGTATCGGGAATGGTGAATACTTACCGTAAATGCCCTGTCATTATGTATGTGTATCAGAAATATTTAATATTTACCGTAAATGCCCTTCCATATAATTCCTATTAAATTATTTGTATCAGAAACATTGAATATTTATGGTAAATGCCCTGCCATGTAATTCTGATGTAATTCTATCAATATACATGTATATCTGTATCAGAAATAGTGAATATTTTACCGTAAATGCTCTGCCATATTATTCCTATTAAAATGTATGTGTGTATCAGAAATATCGAACATTTACTATAAATACCCTCTTATTCGTGTCTAACAGTAACCCTGACACAGGCTTCCCTCCTCACGAAAGAGTGGCAGCAGACATAACTCCCTCCGATTCCATTCTGCCTTTATTAGTTTATCAATAAGATCATTATTATATGTTATAAGACTCCTACATTGGCTAGCCAACAGTCCCGACCAATTATAAGTAGAGTGTTGGTTTTGCGACTTATCTGAAGTATTTCTTGATGTCCTTGTAATGATTTAGTTCTATAACTAGTCATTTCTCAGGAGCTTAGATGTCTATATATACAGGTATTAAAACCCAGTAGTCTGTCACTGCTCAGGTTTGATTCTACTGTGTACTAAGCTCTACATAGAAAAAGCTTTATGGTATTGAATAAGCATACATATTTATGGTAGGGTATTATGACATTATACTCCGCCAACTCGCTTGCCTGCCCCTAAACCTTAAGCATTCAAACTTGCATGGCTGTCTATAAACACTGAATACCCTCACTGATATCCGAACTTACAGTTCATGTACTGGACTGCCTCTGAATTCTACATCACCTACTTGCTTAACCATCAAACCCTAAATCTCCCAAACCTTCTTGCCTACCACTTTACCCTTAATTTCTGCAACTCATCTTTATGCACCTTAAACCTAAATCTCCTAAACACACCTGCCCCTAAACCTGACATCTCCCAACTCTTCTGCCTCCCTAAATCTGTGATCTCTTCGACCCTTAATTCTGTAACTCATCTACCTGCCCCTTAACCTGAAATTTTCCCTACTCACCTGCCTGCTCCTGTATCCAAAATCTCTGCAACTCAACCTGCCATTCCCTAAACCACAAATCACCCCTAATGCTTCTTACCTGCCTGCCCTTAAACACAGAATCTCTATAACTCTACCCGTTGCCCATGATCCCTCCAACGTTTAAACTGATCTAGTTGCCCCTGAATCGTTACATCTCCCCAACTCACCTGCCTACCCCTGAACTCTATCTGGAAGTTTTTGGCTGATTCCTGTGTGACCCGGCCCCCAAAGTCGAGCTGGTAAACCTGGCTGTTTTCATTCCAGAGAGGAGCTTTGTTGTGCATCACAAATTGTCGCATCCCCATTGGCGGAAAGCTTGATCTCTCCTCACTCTTCCGTCGCACCTTTCGTAACTATGGAAACAAACCAATCATCAAAAGATTTGTCATGGGTTGTTTAGAATGCAGTTTATTAGTATGATGTGGTACAAAACAAAATCCAGGGAATACATTTTATGTTACGAGTGGAAAAAAGATGTCGCAATTAGTCATAACAGACCACCATTACAAACTTGTAACTGAATCTTTTGAAGCGAGGATCATTTCATGATTTTGCCGATCATTGTGTCGATACATATTGTAGATATAATTCAATAAATGAACTTGGAATATTGTCTCAATCTGATATTATTCTATAGAAACATTCTGTTGTCTTCGTTAAAATATCATTGATCATTGTCGTCGTTACAAAAATGATAGTTAATGAAAAATACAGTATAAACTGGAAATGAATTTTAATAAGTGGTTTAGCTCAAACATATTGTATTGCCATACAAAGGTGCCAATGGATTGGGCAAAAGTTATTTTGGAAGTTTTACTTTATACACCAACAATGTCCATATTGAACGTGTTGCAAGCTTTCAGGACTGATTGGTCCCCTTGTCAAGCAATGACTAATCATGAGTGAGCTATTTGTATTGTTTACCTGTTCAACCATGTGACAAATTTCTATAATACCTGATAAAGTCTTGCATTTTTTTTCCACAATGATAAATGGTTTTGGGTGGAAATCAAGAAACTGCATGACCACAAAATCACCAGTTCTAAGGTATCTGATGTTATTTACTAGTTTTACAGTACTGAATGGTAATACAAAACACCTTGTCGGCACACATACTGTTAACATATCTGCTTAAGTTCTCAACAAGAAAATGAGGGTCATATGGTCAAAATGATGGTCAAGCCTGCTTAATGTAGGTCGTTTTAGAATGTAAATTTTTCACATCATCAAAATCAGTAGTATGGTATTTGAAATATTAAAATTTGCCATTTTATATATTAGTATGTCTTTTTAATCTTTGAAAGGGTGATTTTGAAACATGATGAGATTCCAACCTAAACTACAATCTGTACAGGTTAGGGAGATCGTTGCAGGTTGATCTACACAAATGCCTTGGACGGTTTGTGTTTAATTATGTGTATGATAGAATACTTTCAGGCAGACTTATGGAGCTATATTTTGAAACAAATCTGTCACTTACCTTTTGTTTAAATTGAGCTTTCTGGAATGATTCTAAATTCTTATAATTGTGAGTAAAACGGATCTCTTCAACAGACGAGGACAGATCCTCGTCGGAACTTTCTATCTGTGTCGAAGAGTACTTTGACTTGCGTTTGAATATTGGGCTGTAATGTTTACACTTTCCTTTAAGAACTTCCTCCCGGAGTTTCCTTGTTGGCGAGTCCCCTTTCGGACTTCTCCGGATAGGGGATGCCGGGAGAGATGCACTGTGATTTATTTCAAAGTCGGGAGTACTTATAGAAAACGGGTCTCTATGGAGACCAGTGCTGAGTTCACTCTCCCCAAAGAAATCCTTGGATTTGAGATTGCATGATTGTGACTTAGGGGAATAGGAAGGACTATTTGTTATACTCTCGTTATCTGTCAAGTTAGTGTGCGATTCCATGAAATCTACACTGTCATCTTCTGTTGCTAAGGAATCTACACTCTCTCTCCTGTCAAATAACAATTCCGACACATCCTTCCCAGCATCCTTCAGTAATTCCTCTGATGCTGCAAGGTACAGACGCTTTTGATGTTCTGACGTGAGGTTTGAAGTAGGTGTCAGTTGACTAGAATCACAAATGACTGTGTTTTCGTGGTTCGGCTCCACGGTTTTGCTGTAATCCTTGTCATCGTCAATAAATTTAATCCCACAGTTGGCACGATCTGCCCACCGGTTTTCCTCGTCATATTTCATAATGTGTTCAACTTCATTGTGTAAACTTGTTCGCATAACACCATTCATCGTGGGACTGTGGTTCAATTCCGAATTACCACAATCCTCCGGAGCAGACGAAACATTTACTTCCGTCATTTGAGATCCTGTGGAAAAAGGGAAATTTTTTACCTTTGGCTTGGCACCTTGGCCGACATATTTATCTTTGAGCACTGAATTGGAGTCACAATTAAAGGCATTATTTTGAGCAAGAGATTCGGTAGCGGGTGACAGTGACCTATTTTTCATGTTAGGCGTCCTTGAAGGTCGCTCAGTACCAACTAAAACATTACTGATACCGCAACTGTCACCCATTAGGTCCAAGACGGGTTTGTTATCTTCACTGTGATTGGTTGAAGAATTGGATGGAAGCACATCAACTACAACTTGATTTTTGTTGTTGCTCCCAGCAACGGATGTTTCTGTGACCACAAGTATTCCTTCATCATGGCAGTAATCCCCACCATCATACAGCATCTCATCAAAAGCTGTAAAATGACAAATAAAAATATATTGGACAGTAACTTTGATAATGTATAATATCAACAAAATATTAAGAGGCCCACAAGACCTGTATGTGATAGAAATGTGGATTGAGGTCATCTCTTTGAGAGAAAAAAAAGTTGCTGGACAGACAGATGACAGAGGACATCAATAGCACACCATAGGCTAGTTCTTTTGATGTGGTGAGTTAAAGATGACTAATTCATTAAATTTGTCATTTCTGAAATTCACAAAGCATGATGGGAAATGAAAATGAATGGCTAGGGCCGTTTGTTAAAATATTCAAGCGACAGAATAAAATTAGTACAGTTGTTTGAGATAGTGCATATTTTTTCACATCATCTTTAACTCCAATGTGTATTGATGTAAAAATCATATGAATAAACATTAGAATCAGAATGCTTTCTCTTGAAATAAGCCAATATGATGTTCACCTGAAATTTCACAATGAAATATTGTCAAACAGCACAAATGTTTTTGTAGAAATTTTAGCTTTCAAATTTCCTTACAAAATTTCCTAATGCATAATTTTACTTGCCATAGAATATTTTTCAAATGAAAGTACATTTACTTATGTTTTCCTTGGACAACTTTCATTGAGTGAAGATTGATAACGACCAATTTGATAATTTTTTCGTATTTTCCAAAACTGTACAACATAATGAAGCAGTATAGATCACGGGATATCTGCCCTTTGACTTTGTAAACATACATGACTGGTCACTCTCCTCTTCTATGGCCCGAGCTGGTGAAAAGTTAGGGTCACGGCTGAGTAGCTGACCGTCACTGCGTATCTCGGTGACCGTGATGGTCATCTGCCGAGGCTGGAGGTGGAGTAGACTTGTCTTGTAGAGGATGTGGCCCAGATCCTCCGGCAGTAATGGCATTGTCCCTGTGATGTGGAACTTAGTTCCCCAAATATTGGATGTCACTTCTACCAGCTTGGAGCTCTGTCAAAGAAATTAACAAAGACTTAATTTTTAGTTTTCAACAACTTTGTCAATTTGAATCATACTTCAGGCCTATGGTGCATGATTTTCATTTTCATTATATTTCTAGCTGTGAAATATATTGGATCTTTGATGAATTTCTATTAGTAAGGTATTCATGAAACTAATGTGGAAGTTTTTATCTTGACAAGGATCTGTCATGCTGTCATGCTAAGAGAAACTTTCATAAATCTTCTAGGGAAATGGAAATAAATTCAAGATAATTTTATCAGATCAAGAATGTGACCATCCCCTACTGTTCAACATCACAGTTCTGACAGCATGTGCATTGTCTTCAATGTGACCTCACATTGGTTAAGAATATGGCATGATTATGTTCGCTAAATAACACAGAAGTAACGTGATAAAAGGTTTTAGAGTGAACGGATATCCTCCGTGTATTCATAGAGGGGTAATTTGAATTAATATTTAAATTAACAATGTTTCATGGTCTGGCAATAATGAATTTTTAATTATTTAGATTACACAGGAAATTCTAGTGGGTATATTGCAGCAGTTCACAGCCCATGATATTTAGTTTTAAAATTAGGGGATTTATAAAACAAAACAACAAGAGGCCCAGAGGGCCTGTATCGCTCACCTGAATATTTAAGCAGTCATAGCAAAATATTCTCATTAAATATTATATAGCACTACAACTATTTCCATCGCAAACTTTGTCGGCTCAATCTGTTTAAACTACCAGCCAAATAATATTATAAGATTCTACGCTTTTTGTTTTTTCTTCAAAAAATGTTTGACATATTTTTCCCTGTGACCTTGTAAGTATGTCAATGTTATTTTCCTTCTCAAACTTTGTTAGCTCTATCCCAAAAAGCTACCAGCCAAATCTTATGAATCCATTCCTTTTGGTTCTTCAGAACAAATTGTTTGAAATGTTGTTGACCTCTGTGAACTTTAAAGTAGGTTGAGGTCATTTTCATTGGCAATCTTTGGTGAGCTCTATCCCAGGAAGCCTCTCGATTATTCAGAAGAAGTCGTTTGATGTTTTTGATATATTTGACACTTGTGACCTTGAAACAGCCAAATATGAAGGTTCTATACCTTTAAGTTCTTCAGAAGAAGTCGTGTAAAGAGTTGAAAGTCATGGTCATTTTCATTTTCAAACTTTGTCAGGCTCTATCCTAGAAAGCCACCAGCCATAAATTAAGACTCCATACCTTTCAGTTATTCAGAAGAAAACGTAGGAAAAGTTTGACACATTTGACCCCTGTGACCTTGAAAGTAGGTCAAAGTCATTTTCATTCTCAAACTATATCGGGCTCTATCCCAGAAAGCTACAAGCCAAATATGAAGCTTCTATACCTTTTAATTCTTCAGAAGAAGTCGTTTGAAGTGTTTTACATATTTGACCCCTGTGACCTTGAAAGTATGTCAAGGTCATTTTAATGAGGACACTTTATAGCATTCCATCCCAGGTACCTACAAGCAAAATATCATGACCCTATGCCTTATGGATCTTGAGAAGAAGATTGTTGAAGTTTTTAACATATTTGACCCCTGTGACCTTGAAAGATGGTCAAGGTCATTTTAATGAGGAAACTTTAATGAGGAAACTTCATAGCACTCCATGCCAGGTATCTACTGGCAAAATATCATGACCCTATGCTTTATGGAACTTGAGAAGATTGCTAAAAGTGTTTAACATATTTGACCCCTGTGACCTTGAAAGTAGGTCAAGGTCATTTTAATGAAGCAACTTTATAGCACTCCATCCCAGGTACCTACTGGCAAAATATCATGACCCTATGCCTTATGGAACTTAAGTAGAAGATTGTTAAAAGTTTTTAACATATTTGGGTATGTGACCTTGAAAATAGGTCAAGGTCATTTTAATGAGAAAACTTTATAGCACTCCATCCCAGGTACCTACTGGCCAAATATCATAACCCTAGGCCCTCAGAAGAAGTCGCTAAAAGGAAAAGCTGACGGACAGACGGACGGACAGACGAACTGATGATGGACGACGAACGCCGCAGTATGGCATTAGCTCACTTGGCCCTTAATTTTTAATTCATGAAAGGAGAAATGTGTTTGGAGAGACGTACAGATATCATATATGGCTAAAACCTTGAGACAAAGTAAAGATGACCTATTGAGGGAACACCAAATGTGTTGAAACATGTCAACATCGTGATAAATATTGACAATCACCTTTAAGTGGATATTGTCCAGTCAACTTTACTTTGAATTTTTATTACTTTTTGTACTGGACTACTGAATTCCATAAGTAATGAATCCATGGAAAACTGTCTTATCTTTAGAACTAACGGAATATGGACGTTAGATTTTTGTTTGTTCTGTAAAGTAAAATGCAGCCGGTTACGTGTCAGAAAAACAAACCTCTGGTAGACTGTCATTGTAAAGCAGTTCATCAAGGGTTCGGAATGTTATGGATCTCTCCACTTTGGCAGCTCGAAAATGTTTTGGCCTTTTCTTGCGTTGCATTCTGGGAGACCCACATCCGTCTGTTGATATGTCACTATCCGAGTCGGAATCAGATTCATATTCAGCCTCATATTGGCTGTTTCCATTGGTTGCTGAAAATTTCAAAATACATGTAAACCAATGAAATGAACTAAGAAGGTGTTTTAATTTTTGATAAAGAAAGTCTTCTTTCTATTACTGTTGGTGGCGACTCCCTGGGAGACTATTTTTGACATTACAATTTGAATTGATAAATGAAAAAAGAAATTAGACACAGAATGTGATGTAAATTAGCAACAATATCAGTAGAGTACCTGTTTATTTATATACTGTACAGTAGGTAATTTTTGCAGGGAATTGGATTTCGCTGTATTTATTGTCACAAAAGTGTGGTACATTGATTCACCCCAAAAACACTGCTGGCAGTTTCAAAATGATCCTTACATAAGTAAATTCGTTAGACTAAGCTTATGTTTATCTAGGGAAAGCTTCATTAAAGTGAAAGAAATACCCATTTTACTGCAATAAACCCAAGAACCAACACAAGTCATACTCTCCAGTTCAGAATAGGGAGGTGTGCATATAAATGACAATTAAATAGCATCTGTTGGTGATTTCCTGAACTGCAATAGACTTAGTGGGCTTATTGCTTATTACCAGGCATGGGCTTATTACCAGGCATGGGCTTATTACCAGGCATAGGCTTATTGCTGGATAAATACAACAAGTTAAGTAGTTTTTCCTTAACATCATCAATGGTTTCTTATATTTTATGAATAATACAGTTAAGGAGTTTCCTTAAGTTAGGAATCATTTGTGAGCCTGTAGTAACACAAGTGTTTGTATTCCTCAAATTTCATCGGAGATGAGATCCTGTGATGTTCTTTGGATCAAACACAACTTTACGTAACAGAGGAACATAGTAAAACCCTATGGTGTGAGAGATACAGAAAAGACAATGGATAACGGGGATGGTTTTATAGGCGGAATGACAGGACATCACTCTAGAGTCCGTTCGTAATGGTGGCATCGTTCAATGATCGATTGCGATTCGAGAGACAAACTACACATAAAAGGAGTTTTATTTCTTCACATGTCAGTAGTTTATATGAAACTGAGATTCTTGCAAATCAATAAAAAAAACTTGAGCAATGCTTCCATATTTTGTAACAGTTCCATGTTTTACTCGTGACAAAAAATCCTGTTTTGTTGCAACCTTGGTAGAGAACTCCCTAACGACACAATGATAATCCATAACAACGATACTCAATCGAAGATACAAGTTTTCTTGAAAGCTGTTGTGAAAACTAGATTTTGAATTCATACCCTGACGCCTAATGAAATTCATTCGGTCCTTAGTGGGGTATTAATTCTGGGTTTGTTCCAATATTTCAGTATTCATAGGATCGGATTCCTGGCATATGACTTGTGTTTACATATTGGTGTCGTTTTATTGGACCCAATTACAGCACCAATTACATCAAATCATGGTCACAGTTAAATCAATCGCAAACTGACAGGAAACAGAGATCGCTTACAGCAAACGGGAATGCAGACTGATATCAAATTGAGTATTATTCACAATGATTTTAGAATGTAGAAACATTAAACACGGGACTCTATTATCTCCATTCAAAATGTCAACACAGGTCAAAATAACATTTTTATAGCACCAATCAACTAAAAAAATATTAAAAAAAGAAAAGGATAATTGCTTACAGTAAAGACAATCTTGCTTGGTTAGATTTCCCATTGATTCTTTGAACTTGTGAAAGTACATGTATCGAGTCAAAGTGATGCTGACCTTGACCTACTAACCATGGGTAATGTGTGTGAAAAAAGGTTTTCAAAGGGTAGGCAAAACTATTACATTGGACTAGCTTATGATCATCAAAAATGCCTTTTAAGAACCAAAATGGTGACATTTGAATATTTAACCCTAAAATGTTTAGGATTCTTTGCCCTCACGTGGGAAATGTGTTGCTAAAATTTTAAGGGTAAAAGTGTGCAAGCTAGTCCCAAATCCTTTTCAAGGTACTGAGTGACTTTGACCTTTGACCTTTTAATATTTCCATGAATATCGTTTTAGAAAGTGTCTCTGAATGGATTCTTTGGTTAAAGCCCTGATATATATATGCAGTAGGGAAACAAATCTTTAAATCACAGTGATACCAGCTTGAATATATAATGAACAAATCTTGTTACAAATCCAATTACAATTTTTCAAGTTTAATTAATTTTTACATCGTCCCTTAAATGAATAGAAATTGCATCAAATTTCACTCAATATAACTAGTGTTCAATTACAATTTTTATAATCAAAATTTCCTGTTTCATCTTCAAATTATTTCAAGTTGATTAAACTAAAACTGGCAAACTAATTGGAGAAATTTAATATCGAAGAAGAAAGTTGTAATACACGTACATTAACACGACCCAGTATTTTAATGAGGACACGGCAACGCTGCCTCGTTAAGTACAATGAGGTCTGATTTTCAGGAAACATATGTATCCTTAATGGAAATGTTACATATTAAGGATGCTTGTACCACTGCCAAAAACTGTAACTTTGCATGGAAAACTTGGTTTTCCCCGGATGACAATAAATTAATAAAACATTTCTGAAAAGAAAAACATACCTTACAGGACTAATGAAAAACAAGAGGCCCAAAGGCCTTAGCGGTCACCTGAGTAATATTATAGGTACTGGTAGCTTTATTTTATTGTTTAGATGTGAAGTGGAAATCGGCATGTAAACTAAGTGAAATACGATACTTGTCATGTCATCAAAGGATAAGAATTTGAAAATATTGGTAAATGTTCCCTTTAGGGCCCCGCCCTAGCCCCTGGTGATGGGGCAGGAATCCCAATTTTATAAAGTAAAACTCTCATTCACCAAAGATGATTCTGACCAAGTAATTTTCTGCTGAAAATGGATAAAATATACCAAAAGTGTTATTTCCCATACAAACTATTGTAAACTTTACCCCCTCCCCAAGGGAGAACGGATAGCTCAGGGGTCCTGAAATTTACGATTAAAATAAAGCCCCTGATGATCTTTCTTTCCATATGGAGAAAATGACTAGTACCTCTGAGTCTGGAGATGAATATTTTTGAAATATTGGTTAATTTTCCCTTTGGGGCCCTGCCGTGGCCTCAGGAGTTGGGGTAGGAATCTCAATTTTACAATTTGAAACCATCTTCCTCCAAGGATATTTCTCACCAAGTAAAAATAATTTCCTACAGAAAGTTGTCAAAATACACCCAAAAGTGTTATTTCCCTATATAAACTATAGTAAACTTTACCCCCTCCCCAAGGGAGAACGAATAGCTGAAGGGTCCTGAAATTAACAATTTAAGTAAAGCCTCTGATGATCTTTCTTTCCATGTAGAGAAAATGACTGTAGTACCTCTGAGTCTGGAGAAGATTTTTTAAATATTGGTTAATTTTTCATTGGGGCACCGCCCTGGCCCCAGGGGTTGGGGTAGAAATCCCAATTTTACAATTTTGTAGCCTCATCTACCAAGGATGATTCTGACCAAGTTTGAAAAAAATCCATCCTCTGGTTCTTGAGAACAAGTTGAAAATGCAAAAGATTTACGCACGACAACGGACGGAAAGCGATTAGAATAGGTCACTTGAGCAAAGCTCAATTTGAGATTACTGGGACAGGGATCCTTAAAACTAGAATACAATTGGACATTGTACTGTTGAGTTGGATTTTTATTATCTTTTCTTTTAAAGAAATTGAAATTTAAGGGGGAAGTAACAAATAAAACGAGGGATGAGCACTTTACAACCTTGACCGTAACATTTTCTTTACTGTTGTTATTGGTTGGACAAAGTTGAAATTGTAACAGAAATACGAAAAAGATAAATTACTGGTTCTGTCTGGGCCTTTAACCCAGGTCTTTAATGGGATGACCAACTCTCCCAATTTCCTGATTTTATTGGTCTACTCTTCTTTCCAAAAGATGGAGAAATGGTTTTGTCAATATTCGACCTCTAGAATTATTAAGTATGGCATCCTCACTATGGCAGATTGTGATTCATCAGCCGACATTTCTGATCTTTGTTACAGGATGAAACTGGTGTGTGTGACGATTGATGGACCTTATAGATCGCATTTCCTCCGTGAACCCGACTGGATTACTACACCGATACATTTATATAACATACAAACAGGCCTTAAACATCCCTATATCTCAACCATAGCGGACAAATATTCGTAACTCTATGAAGTATATCATTGTTTTAGTGAAGGGCAGCTGATGTATATAGATTTTACATATTGGCTAACTGGCATTTCATAGTTACATAAAGCATTTCATAGTTACATGAAGTATTTCATAGTTACATAAAGCATTTCATAGTTACATAAAGCATTTCATAGTTATATAAATTATTTCATAAGCACTGTATTTGTATATATTGGGCTAGACACGTTCAGAATCTGAAGGATGAGTTATCTCCCTTTAATTTTTTCAATCATTTGGATTAAAATTTTGCCAAAGTCTCAGTCATGTGTAGATTTTAAACGTAGCATCAATAAATTAAACAAGTCAAAAACATGCAATTGGAAAAGAAATGTGTATTACATTAAGATACCATACATCCTTAAATAGGTTTTTATTTCATAAGACATTTATAAAAGCTGTCTTATTTGCAGCAATGTGACACTGTACCATCCTCAATATCACTAAGAAATAAGAGAAACATAACAGCACTACAACTGTTATATAATTTTGATTAATCTTCTTATGATAACACTGGATTACACAATAGATTTTGTGTTCCCCCTGAGGCAGCCAACAGATATGAAAACACTCTAGTTTTTCATACACATCGAAAAATAATGATTTTTCATCACAATGACTATCCATAGTTCTGATCCTTCTCCTGGGGTTTTCTGTATAGTTTGTATTTGCATGGGGCATTTGAAATTGGCATATGGGAGCTAACTCATTCACCCCAGAAATTTCATAATGAACTATTCCAACCTTTGAATTTGAAGAGTTCAAATGTGTCTTCAGGGGTGAATGAGTTAAGAACGTTATATATATAGTAGAAGGTGATTCACATAGTAATTAGACATGGTAAGCATTGTACTTG